CAGACAAAGGCACTATTCAAGTAAGAGGGATGACCTGGTGTATTCTGTCCGTTCCCGCCGAGAACACAGGCATTGCTGTACCGGGCACCGGCACTAAGAAAGGGCCCTTCATTTGTACTCCAGATCTGCGGCCGACGGTTTCGAAACGACCATATTTTCATCGAGCTCGGTGAGGTACAGGCAGCAATACCTGACGCCTACTGATGTGACGGTCCGATTATCAAACGCTTCCAAGCACAGCGACCGCAAAACAGAGCCTACGTGAATGACCGCGGGATTCAGCGCAGCCCTTTCTCACACATCATACTCGTCGCCGTGGTCGATGTCAAGGCCCGCGGTGATCCACATGTAGGTCTAGCGTTAGTCGACTCGGCTTGTGTGTGCCGTGTGCGTCCTCGCTGATACGGACCGTCGAACATAGGCAGAACTGTTCGATTCTTCGACCAAACACCGACGGCCGCCAACGCGCTCTCACTTACAAGTCGCGTTTGTTCATTCTTCAAGCCCGGGGAATCCCGTTGTCACTCCGATCAAGGTACTGCTTTGCACACGTCCACACCTAGACCTGCTTCTGCTTGCGCCGCTCCTTCTCTGCTGCTCTCTCCCAAAAGACAAGCAAGTAAAAATAGACCGACGCAAACTCGGTCGGCCCACCAAGACTGTTAAGTCCTCTTATACCGCTTCTTCTTGTGCCTCTTGGCCATGTCGGGGATTCTCGCTTTCGGGATAACTCCCCGAGGGTCCCGGTTGTTGGTGACCTTGATCCCCGTGAGCACGTACCCGCCGCAGCTCGACATGTTGTTGAGAGGGTGCGTTCGCCCTGGCAGGACCTGTGTGCTCGGCACCAGCGGCGGCGGCAGCAAGGGTGCAAGGCAGACGAATTGGGGAAAACAAGCGGAAGCGCCACTGTTGTGGCGGTGTTGCGTGCGGCGAAACGACAGCACACCAGAGCCTGGAAGAAGCGACGACGTGCGAGACTTGCGTTCATTACTCATGCAGGAACCATGTACGAAGAAGGACGCAAGCAAGTGCCAGCAACATATCAATTAAAGCTACGACACGAACAACAACCAAAGAGGATCTGCCCACAAGGGCTTGTTGGTGGACAATAGTTGTCCGCAACGCGGTGCTGCGGCAGGTTTCTCAGCACTAGTGTTAACGGAGGAAACTGACTGACTTGACACACGAGACAAGGGGCATGAAACCTAAACCCTGATGGCTGGCGCCGTCATTTGTTCTCGTCGTCAAAAGTCGGAGGTGATCGAACGAAGAAGAACACGAAAGGGGAACGAACGATGGCGAGCACGTTGTTGCAGCATGCACCGCGGTCGTATCGTGGAGACACACACACCAACAACTCCACTTGCTGTGACAAGGAGATGCTTCGCCCATCAATCAACACTCAGGGGGGGAGTGCACGTGCCAACAACCCACAAGAGAGGCAAGCAAGAGATCAACGGCTGAAAGCTAAGAGCGCAGGGTTGGCGGGGCGGAGAAGGAGCCAGAGGGCACAAGCGGGCATAAGACACAAAGCTGAAGCCGAGCCAAACCTGGAACTCCCTTAGCCAGGTGTCGCATAGCTGCAGCTTCACCGCTCCCCCTTTGGTCTGCAGATGTCGCAAGCAGGACACTAGCGGCTGCCGAGTGGCACCGAGGAACGAAACGAAAAAATGAACCGGGAATGGGTGATGAACTCGGCGAATGAATGGGTGTACCCATGTTGTGGCATCATAGCCATAGCCCAGACGCCATGAAAACAGCAGAGATGGAGTGCGTCAGGTTAGGAGTCCGCCGAACGTGTACGGAAGGGAAGAGGGATAGACGCAGAAGCAGACGCGGGAAGGAAAAGTCCAGGCGAAACACACCATTCATTACAAAAAACACGCGCGCGCAGACGTGTGCCACACGCCAGTGAATACCAACAGCCCAAGTCCCTGGCACACAGTGTTCGATGTGCATCGGGTCAACAGCAACAAAGCACACTTGTGCTTTTTTCACCACGAGGTCAGGTATTGTAAGTAAACCCACTTTAGAGAGCATGAGGGGAAGGGGCAGGCCCTTGAGTGCCCAGACACTTAACGTGAAAAAACTACACTTGCAACCCCGCATCTTCCGGCATGCACCCCTAGCAAGCCTGCCCGGCGGGTCACTCAACAGCAGTCTGGTGATGAAAAGGGCCCCGTGATGACCTACCTGTCCGTGCCCAACCACTACCGCCTTGAAGACCGAGGATCTTCCCGAAAAACAACCAAGATTCAGGACCGCCCACGCGGGATTTTAAGAGCATCTAGAACAAGAATAGGGAGGGGGCACGCAAACCCTATCCCTAACCCTAACCTTAACCCCAAAGCACGGATTGAATACTTTATCCCATATGTTTTCTTTATCAATTTTGCTGCGTAGACTACTGACGATTCATTTAAACACAAAAACTCACAAGGAATCGGAGAAAACACAAACCTCTCGTTAGACCATGAAGACCTCTCTTTAGATCATGCAGGCTAACAGTATTGTAGTCGCAGAAAAATTCATGGGGTTTGGTCGTTTCATCGTGCACTACGATAATTTATTTTTCGCACATGTTCTCTCTGGTGAAACTCTACCCAAGCACGCCCCATTTGACCTCATGGAGCTGAGAAAAAGTTGCAAAACAACAATGGTGGCTTTTGTACCACATTCATGCCGCTGACAAGTTTGCCTTCTCTCGTCTCCCTTGCCACTCTCCTTTTTGTTCTGTTGCATCTCTACAGTGAAATTACCTCAATGAACTCCGAGTAGATCGCGAAGGGTCTGGACGGCGTGAGGTGCGGGAGCATGGCGTCGACGGCAGCTATGGGGTCGAACTTGCAAGCGATCACCAGGCAGTCGCACCCCTGCCGCAGCCAGTCCCGAACCTTAATTTGTTTGTTTTTTTTTGCAGCAGCAGCGTGGGTACAAAGGAATTGAAGCAGATCAATTGCTACAATGTCCTCGGAGTGGGGACCGCCTTCGTGAAAAAGTGAATTCGTTAGTAAACAAAACAGGGACGGGGTACGCAGACCCTATCCCTAACCCCAACTCAACTTCCCCGATTGCATACTTTATCCAACATGTCTACTTAAAACGGAAAACCCTGCGAGGGCTACTGGAGAGTGGGTCGGTGTCCCGACCGGGGAGGGGCGGAGGAGAGCGGAAGGTAAGGTCGGCCCGTCAAGCATCCTTTCGGCGAAGGAATAAACCGAACCACGCGACCAAAATTGTGTCTCTTTATCCTCACCTGCCGCGGCGCTGGCCTGTGCTTATTCCGCCGCATCCTGGCCAGCTTCCTCTCGATCCTGGCCGGTCGGTCCTGCTCCTCCCCCAGCACAAGCAGCAACGAGGCGGCGTTCGGCAGCGGGTACAGCGAAGGCAGGGGGTGACGGTGTCACGATCCGCACGGCAGCGGTAGAGGGCGCGGTAAACAAGAACGTATATTCGCGTTGCGATGCTGACGCTGGAGTGGATGTCAATAGTTGGATTTCGACCTTTGGTGGGGGGGTATAGGGGGACCGGTGATTACCTTCATTGTGTCCCGTCTTCCACGGCCTTACCCTTCCGTTGCATCGTCGATGCATGAGTTTGTTCGTGCGCCGAGTTCGAGGGCCCCGATGTACTTACTCGCTTCCAATAAATGAGACCGTCGCCACCAAACCTCGCTGAGCTTCAAGCGGCAAGCTCCGATAAGTAAACGTAAGAAACGACAAAGACAACCAACAACAACAACAACGACAACGACAACGACAACCCAGGTTACCCCACCCCGGCAAAGAAAACACAAACCAAGCATTAAAACGACTGACCCGGAACGAATCAGACTACAACCCCCAAAATCATACCCCTGACCACCCCAACCCCAGCAAAAGAATACCTTCTCGGGCACCCCGTGATCGTCCATGACCGTCTGATACTCCGCCAGCGCCTCCTCCTCGGTGCGACTGTCCCCGGGCCCCCCGTCATCCACAGGGTCAGCCTCTCGCTCCGACTCCGGGATCGACAGCCGACCGAGCTCGCTCGTGTGCAGCGGCAGGAGGCACTTGAGGAGGTCCTTCTCGGCATGATCGAACTTGCGCACCTGGTGGCACCGTGTGTGTTTGGGGGGGGGGGGGGGGGGG